GGTCTCTATAGAAACAATCATCTGTCAGTTTGGTGTTTTGCCCATGTGTGCAGAGCTTTTCTCCATTTCCTCCAAAAACATGCAGATTTTGGTTAATTGTTAACCTTTAACTGTTCGCTCCAAATTGACCGTAGCGATGAGTGTGAGTGTGAACGACTGTGTGTAATGGACTGGTGAATTGTGTGGGGGGTAAATCTGCCCTCACCTGTTAAACTCTCTGACTGATTAATGATGCATCACATGAATGATAAAAGAGAAAACAATCATATTAATCACTGAGTAGAAACACGACTGCTTTACATTTAGTCGACGGAGGCTCCGTGTCTTTCATAACCCTCGTGTGAGAGGAGGTCAGTGGCTCCGAACAGAAAACAATGCCAGTCTTTCTGGCCTGGCATGAGAGCAGAGAGGGAGGGAACCGTGAGGAGGAGGAAGAGGAGGAGGAGAGAGTTCTTTGTGTCGGCTGTGACAGTGAGTGGATGTGAGGGAATGAGAAGCTGCTGATGTCCTGCCACCATCGCCCTGAGCTGCACTTTGATGTGGTGAGAACAAAATGTTAAACTCTGCATTGGTCAGGGTTTTAGGAAATTACATTTCACAGCAACAGAGAGATGGAATCGTTGTATTGAATTTGTAACAAGTACTCAAAAAAAAATCTGTTTTCAGAGGAAGACCATTTTCCAGTTTGTATATGATTTGAGTAAGTGGATAGAGATCAGATTTATTCCTAATAGAGTCAGAATTAAGCAGGAGATGAGAGTCAGAGATTACAGAAATATCTGAAATCTCAAATGTCTTGCACTTGATGTAAAAAAATGAATTTTTTTGTAGTGATGAGTGTGAAATCTGAATGATTCAGAAACAGTTCCCAAAAGTGTGGGGGGAGAAAAAACTCCTCCACTTTTCCTTTAATTCCTCAGCCGTAGATGAAGATAAAGGGATTGAAGTTTCTGGTCCTCTCTTAAAGATAGCTAAAGGTTTAGCTGCACCTGTGTTAGTGTGTCGTCAAACCCTCACTTTGAATACATAGATTAAAGACCCACTGATGTCTGGCGGCCTGTGAATCCACTTCACTCTTATGGATAAATAACGGCTCGACTCCGTCCTGCTCCGACATGTTCTCGCTCTTTTTTCTGATGTTCTTCTTGTCATCACATCACTCAGCACTCTTTTCCTTCCTGTTCCCTCTTTTCTGTTTTTCACACACACAACAAACCAAGTGTAGTGTGAATGTGGGGGAGAAAGTAAAGACAATATTATTGAACAACAAGCACACACACGCGTCTGTGTGCTTGTTATTGTGTGTGTGTTTTCTTCTGTGTCTGTGTGTGTGTGTTTGCCTTTTCTCTGGGTTTTCTTCTGTGTGTGAGTGTGTGTGTGTGTTTGCCTTTTCTCTGGACGACCCGTGCTGTTTGTTTAGGATTAAACCAGCAGAAGGTGCAAATGAACCACAGAAAGGAAGAAGATTAGACCGACTTTGTTCCCTAGATGGACTTTACTGGATGACTGAAAAGAACGCTGGGGATCTCTCCTCATTTGAGCTCTGAAAATCAAGACTTTATACCTTTTTTTTATTTCACATATTTCTAACAGTCAGATGAATCTGTTGCTGTGGACCCTCCATACTGCTGCTATTTATTTCTTGGACTCTTATCCTATAATCATGACATGTGTGACCTTTAAACTAACCCTTACCTTAAGCCAACCACATAAACACTGACCACACACACACTCACACACACACACCACACCACACACTCCCCTGTTATGTTTGTCTTTGGTGCTGCCAGTCAGGAATGTAGGTCTTGGTTTTGTGGAGCAAGCAGCAACAGGTCCGGCTCCTGAAAGAGAGTTTGAGGAGAATACAGACATCACAGCAGCAGCGTCAGACAAAAAAAGGCTGTGATCGGGACAAAGGAACCGTCTGTGGTTCATGGACAGACGCTGCGCTCGTGAAAAGGCGCTGCTTCTCTAAGACAGAGCTGACTCTTGATAGGAGCGCGTACAGGATCAGGTCTATGGAGGCGGTGCGTTTGCTGGACAACTGGAGGAAGGTAACTTTGAACATTTAGAGACAGTAAAAGAGAGGTTAGTTAAATAAAGGTTAAATCGTTTTTCTGTCTGAAATTAGATTTTCACGACTTCAGCCAAGAACTCCTCCACGTGTATTTATTGTTGTGTGATTTACTGTCGGGGACTTTGCTGGAGGTGGACTCTGCTGAATATGGTTTCACAATCGGTCCAAAGCAGCAAATGTGATGCTGGGGAAGCAGGAGTTTTATTATTCTCCCTGGAGTGCCGTTCATCACCACCACAGTTTCCATCGCTGCTGCAACACCACTTGCAGATGTGCAAATGTCTGTGTGTTTGTGTGTGTGTGTGTTTGCCCTTGGCTTCTCTGTGATTGCTTTTCATTATGTGTTTTTAGCCTCTCCCCCGTGGGTGTCCTCCGTGCCTCCTCACAACCACATGATGATAATAATGACCGTGAAGGTGTTTTTCTCACATCCAGTATATTTAGCCAAAACAAACATAGCTAATATAGACAGGGCTGGTATTTATAGCCACTTGTTTTGTTTTTTTGTGCTGATTTCACTGCAGTGACTTGATAAGGAGACGTGTGTTTTTTAAAAAAGGTGAGAGACTCCCGCGAATGTGTCGTCATGTGATTTAATTGTGTCTCATTTTGTTGTTGTGACTACCTTGGAGTGTGATGCTACATGCTGTCTACCATCTGCTGTGTGTGTGTGTGTGTGTGTGTGTGTGTGTGTGTGTTGACAGTATGACACATCTAAGTCTAAGCCGACTGGAGTCGGTGGAAATCCCAGTGAATGTGCAGCAGCTTTAGGTTAAAAAGAGGAAGTGGTGTGAGTTCAAGTGTCTCCGTTCAGATGTAACCGGAGACGACCTCGTGTGATGTCATCTGTCCCTCACTCACTGTCTTGTCCTCTCTTAGGATCTTCATGTGTCACAGGAAGAAGTGGACGCCTCGATGGACATGGACCGCCTGAACAGGAACATGCCGGAGTGTGGACGGCAAACCCACCAGGTGTTACAGGTCAGTGTGGTGCACACGTTGTGTGTTTGTGTGTGCGTACGCGTGTGTGTGTGTCACCGGAGGAGCTTGAAGAGAAAATGCCAAGTGAGAAAACAAAGCTGAAGGATGAGTGAAAAAAAAAAGGAGCTCTTTGTTCAGAACTTGGCAGCCGTCACAGAAAAAACCCAGTCATGTGTCATCAGCGTCAGATTACACACACACACAAACACACACACACTTTTAACAACTCTACCCATTGATGTTAAATGTCACAACTTTGGCTGCTGTGACAGATTGTTGTCTTTGATATGTTGGTAGGTGATAAAAAGACTCTGCTCTTTCAGCTGCGACACATTCTAACAACATTTATTAAGCTCTTTCAGTTGCGACACATTCTAACAACATTTATTAAAGAGAAGGATTCTACGGTCAGAGTCAGTGATTAGACCCAGACACTGATGTGACGACCCCCCCCCGCCCCCACCTGCTCAGTTATAGATCTTATAGATTTCAATCTTGTCCGACATTTAAGGAAGATGTGAGCGTGTGCATGTGCACGTACGTGTTAACCCCACACACAGAAAGAAACATCTAAACTCCATACAAAAATCATTAGTCTTCTTTAAATGCTCAAATTATTATAACCAGTGCTGTGCAACATGAACAGCCTCCTGACCAGACACCGTTGTGTTTCCCTTATCGGTCATGAAAGGACAGAATAAGACTCCTGTTTTTGCAGAGGTGGGCAGGGGGTGAAGGGGAGGGGGTGTAGGACAGTCCTGTCAATATTGGATCAAATGTTCTTAGTTTTACTGACAATGAAAAATGCGTTCATGAAAACAATATTTTTTGCGCTCATATTGTATTACTTTTTTTTTGACCAGAACATTCGTTTCAGTACATGGAGGTCGTGTCAACATCATTTCCCTCCTGTTGTATCTGCTGACGTGAGATAATGAATAATGAGAACGTTAAGGTCATTAGGTCGATAAAACACCAGTGTCTGAAATTTGAAAATATTTAGATTAGTTTCTATCAGTGTTTCTGTCTCTTCTCAGTTCAGTTACCAGCGTGAAAGGTCAGCAGGTCAACAGGTCAGTGTGGGTTCTCTAGCGGTACATTCCAGTGCCGGACCGCGTCAGCACATACAGACAGCGAGGGAGAGAACTGTGGATGCGTGCACCACATGGGAGCAGCAGCACACAGCAGTTGAAGCTGCACGACTCCCCTCCCTCTCACCAACCGCTGACCCTCACCACCAGTTTGCCCCTCGGTGCCTTACAGCCCTTCTCTCTCTCTCTCTCTCTCTCTCTCTCTCTCTCTCAATCCTCTTATTAGAGTTGACCCCACTCGCCGACAGCTCCGCCGCAATCAGATAATCCTATTAGGATTCACGCGAGCTGCCTACCCGTCGAGAGGCTGAGTCAACGATCGCTTACCCTGTATAAATAAAAGGCACAGCTGCTGTTTTATAATATGAGAGTTTGTCAGTGTCAGTGTGAGCTATTAGCTTTTTTTTTGGACATTATTAAACGCATCACATTGCAGTCAATATTTGTCGAGGTAAGAAAGGAGCGAGGCTGACAAATACGACGATGTAAAAATCAAACTGACGTCAGACGGATCACATTACTGGGTTTCCTGTGATGGTCAATAATAGATGCTTAGACCAAGTGTCACGTTATTAGCTGTGATGCTGTTTTATTTAACTTGAGATTGTACATGGGTGATATGTTCCCGTACAGTATGTTCTTTTTTTTATGGCAATAGAGAAATAGAAAAGTGCAAGAAAATCCTTTATTTTCTATTGAATAATTTTCAAGGCTAGATGAGTTTTTAAAATGTGGTTTCATGAGGCACTGCATGGACTGTGATGTATCGTCAATGAGAAAGAAAAGGATTTACTTACATGACTTAGCAACCAAATATTAACTAAAGCTCACCCAAACTATTCTAGTGATCAACTTAGTGGAGTAAAAACGTCCACTAACCTGACACCAGTCTGAACCACCAATGACCTCATCAGACGTCCTCAAAATCTACAGTACGGACCTGACTGAACAATCTGATCAGTAACTTCACTGACTGAACAGTTTGAACAGTCACTAACTAGACTGAACAGTCACTAACTAGTCTGAACAGTCACTAACTAGTCTGAACAGTCACGAACTAGACCGAACAGCCACTAACTAGTCTGAACAGTCACTAACTAGACTGAACAGTCACTAACTAGACTGAACAGCCTGCCGCAGCTTCATGTTTCTCATTTACAGAGTGGGGTTGCCATGGGGACGTCCCTTCCCCCTTGTTGAGCTGATAGCACATGGTGGATTTGTTCCGGCAGAGATAACCATGCACACACACGCATACACACACACACACACACACACACACAGGAATGTCCTCTCACACTCAGGCACCTTGTCTGGTAATCTCATGTATCACTGAAGCACAAAAACTGCAGTATCTGCAGCACTAGACACAAACGAATCCCTCGTGCAGTGTATTCATTTTTTACATCAATTAGTTCAGAGGGTGCGTTGCCTCTTGGGTCTGATCCTCGGTCAGTCATCGATGTTCACCTCAAACACACTGTTTATTCTCAATGTTTATTTGTGCAGCTTAACTGACCTAGAGATCTTTTATTCATATCTTTTATCCAACTTTATATATATCATCTTTTATTTTTGTGTGATGTTTATGTTCCGTGTGTTACAGAGCACTCCACTGGACCTGATTGAGACCGGAAAAGGTTTAAAGTTCCAGGCAGAGCATCACCTTTTATTTTTTGTGTGATGTTTATGTTTCGTGTGTTACAGAGCACTCCATTGGACCTCTCATCTTGTATTTTTTGTGTGATTTTGTGTGTTACAGAGCACTCCATTGGACCTGATTGAGACTGGAAAAGGTTTAAAGTTCCAGGCAGAGCGCCCCCATCTGGTTAGCCTTGGTAGTGGACGTTTGAGCACTGCCATTACCCTGCTGCCCCTGGCTGAGGGTGAGCATGTTAGCTGCTGCTGCTACTGTTGATGTAAAAAAAATGCTTGTGTATCTGAAAGAACAGCTGATGTCTGTGCTGCACTACACACACACGTCAACTTTGGCAAACCAAAATATTTCTGGTGACCTCTAATTCTACTGCTGTCGTTGTCTGTCACCCTGTACGCTCCAGTTTTTTGCCTCCAAAATCCTAGGCCAATCATTGTCCTTGTTTTCAACCCAAATATTTTAAACTGCACTCATTGTGTAGGTCATGAACAGTAGACCAAAAGAGAACACTGCGTGGGTCAGACCATCATAGCTGTCTCTTTTTTTTTTTTTTCTCCTCCTCCATTTCAGGGCGGACCACCCTGGGCCATGGCTCCGTGGACATCAACATCCAGGGTGCAGCAGTGGCTGCGGAGCACTGCTACATAGAGAACAGGTCAGGGGTCATCACGCTGCACCCCTGCGGGAACCTCTGTGCCATAGATGGACTCCAAGTCACACGGCCTGTCCGCCTGTCACAAGGTACCTGTCAGCCCAAACATTTGTCACATAGTTCACCCTGCTGAGCTGCAGAGTTTCTGCTGACGTGCTCCTCGGAGCTCTTTACTTGATCAACATGGTGCAAACAATCTGTCAGCAACATTCGCAGCTTTAGCGTCGCATGGATTTCCATTTTTCTCCACAGTCGGAACAAACTGTGCGGGAAAGCATTGGATATAAGATACGCTGTTATTTCACCGGCGTACCAATACTCGCCAGCTAAGGCACAGATCAATCCATCGGTCAATGAGAGCACTTCTTAAAGAGGCAGCAACTCAGCTCGGTGGAAAACACAGAGGGTGAGCTTTTAAATAGGCATCGATTGAGGAGCAGCCGGAGGTTTCTGTGTTAATCAGTTAACAGATTGAGCTCTGCTGTTCTCAGGCATGAAGAATTCCAAGAAACCGGAGGGAGAAAATGAGATTCATTGATTTTAAATCTGCTGTAACCTGGGTGAATCAGATTTGTGTGGAAAACAATCCAATGAGATTGACATTTTATCGGGAAATGATTGTTCGCCTTGAAGTTATGGCCTCGGTGATGGAAAGATTTAGGTGATTTCTCAGTTTGAAGAATCAAAGCACAGTCAGTGTGAGGTATGTGATGGTTTTCATGGCAGTGGTGGTCACACTCGTACCTGACGTGTCTGAGCAGAGTGGAAATTATCACTGCAATAAAACTGTCGTAGGAATTAACATACTTCACTTTGGTGTTTCCCTTTCATGTTACTCCCCATTGTCAGTTGCGAGTCCAGCAATAAATCAACTTAACACTTAGTTTACACTTAGTTTACACCAAATATACCCTGCTGTAAAAGAAGCTATGTCAACAGCACTTAGATAAAGACAGAAATCATCATCTAATTTCAATTTACATACAATTTGTTTTATTCAGTATAACAGTTGGTCCTCTTTAGTTGAACACTATGCTAATTTTCATGTTTCAAGAAGACAATTGTAGTTAGTAGTTTGTAGTAATTGAAGCATTTTGTGCTGTGTTGTAGTTCTTTGTGACGACGTGGCTGAAGAGTCTCCTTATAAACAGTTAAAGAGGAAGTTTCCATTGTAATTTTCATAGTAAGTGTTTCTTGTAGTCTCATAAAGCGTCACAGCCTCAGAGGGAGAAAATAGGGAGTTGGGGGAAAAAAAAAAAGAATCATTATTACTCACCAGAAGGAAATGTCCCTCTGTCTAGATGTGCTATTACACACTGCTGTGCTATTTTAAGGATGGAGAAACACTGGCTTTTAAATCCACATCTTGCCAGTAAAAAAAAAAGCTGATGTCTGCAGGTATTCCATTTTTTTTAAAATAATAGTTTTTTTATCTGCAGTGTCCCTTCCCTCTGTATGTATTTTCTAGCCTTCTTTTGTTTTGCAAGTGGCTGAATTGTCTTTGTGTGTAAATATTAATCAGTGGAATGATACCTGTAGGTGGCAGTAATGGACGTAGAGCTGTTGTGAAAACCTAAAAACCTAAATACAGTGGATTGTTGAGTAGAAAACTAAACAGAAACTCATCTTTAGATCTGAAGACGTCTTTAATGGTGGAAAAATATTTTTCAACATTTTATTGTAGAAATCCTGACTCATTTCAGTGCAGTGTTCCAACAGGTCCAGTCCATTTGATCCGTGAATTCACCTTGCTGTGTAAGGTTTAAGTTCCAGCCTTTCCTGGAGCCTACTGTGGAATCTCATGAAGTTTTGGTGAAGCAGCTGGTGCTACTTTGTCACAGTTAAACGGGTTCAGCCATAGGGACAGAAAAGTCGGTCGGCACTTTTACCTTCAGCTCTTGGATTAAGACAAAAATGCAATTTTTTTTTAGCACCTGTGAAGATTTATGCTAACATTTACCAGTTCTCTGGTAGGAATACCTGTAGAGCCGAGACCGACTGACACCAGTGCTTTATACAGTATCTATCAATGCCTTGCATAACAATTTCACATGAATGTGTTGTCTGTCGGTCCGTGCCTCTCGGTCTTTCGGTATTTCAACCCGGACTCCAGCAAGGTAACCTGAGAGGGGACATGGGGCTATTTATACTGCCCCTTCTGCCCCAGACAGACCCCGCTTTGGCCTCACGGGAGGTTTCAGATGGAGGGTGAGGGTGAAGCAGCAGGATTCACTTACTGTCAGTGGAATGAGCTCAAACCGTCATAAAGGAGAATCTAACTACATGTAATTATCTGATGCTCTCCTATTGGACAAGTTAGCACAAGGGAAGGCAGGAAGTAGATCAGACTCTTCTGCTTTCTTACATCTTCCATTCCACGAGCGCCATCACATTACGCTGCACGTGTTCTGGACGTTCTCTTACGATCCACTCTGACTAAACACTCTGATGTGCGTCTCAGTTAACTGTCTGCTTCCTGTGTGTCTACACCTGGCATATGAATCTTTTATAAACCTGAGGTTGGCTTCAGAGCATCTGCCTCTGTGTTTCTTGAAAAGTCAAGCTGCAACAAGTTGATATCGTTACAAAAAGAAAATGTGCTTTAACCCCGCGCTCAGAGATAATCCTGCTGGATTTACAGTATAACTCAGAGGAGACAGTGGAGGGAAATCCCAACAGTGAAAGGACATGAACAAACTGAGTCAGTGTCTTCAAGGCAGTGGTCCACTTCATTCAACCTGTATACTGTATAAACAGGAATGGAATTTTAATATTCCATTACATGGTTTTATATAGTCTTCTCAGACTTAAGACATAGTTATATGTGTTTTTCTGTGTTTATAATTGTCTTGTACCGGAAGCATTCTTCTTTTTTCATTGATTTTAAAGACAGTGTTATAAGCTGTCAATTGAAGACAAACAACACTTTAACATCAATAACTGGTTCAGAGAAAGTTGTTGATGTGTCGCACACACACACGGCCATCAACGTCTTTCTGAGCCTCCTCTTCCCTGCTGCAAAGCACTGACTCAGGATCTCCACCTCCTTTCATCCTCCTGCTCCTCCTCTCTCGCCTTCTCTCCTCCTTCCCTCCCTCTCTCCCTCACTCCCTCACCCCTCTCTCACTCCCTCCGACAGCAGTGAGAGGTGAACGTGATCCAGCTGTTTCTCACTGAAGCCCAGACAGGCTTCCCTCACTGTACTACTCGGAGCTAGCGGAGCTACGAGACAATGGCCTCGGCTCACAATGACTGTACAACTCCCGCACTGGTTTGAATGAGTTGGGCTATACCAAGACCTCAGCGGATGGACCCGTGTTTTAACAAGTGTTCCGGCGGACAGCTTCTCTTTGTGGCCGCTCTCATACATACATATTAGTGCAAGTAAGCTTTTTTTGGACTCGAATTATCATAACAAAAGCATAAACGCCGCGGTTGTTCCACAATAAGTCGCTGAAAGGAGGCGAAAACACGTGGTTTTCTTTAAAGGAGTCGATGCGATGAACACTGCGGCGGGAGAGAGGAGTTTGAATCCGTGGAGTTAAAGTAAGTCCCGTCTCTTTCTACATGTTCATTTGTGGTGTTCGTGACGCTGGGAATCGCCGTGGAGTTAGATGTAAACCCTTGGTGTTGGATTAAAGAGAAGTTTTGGACCACAGCCAAGTAATTAATTCCCCATTACTCAGCAGAACGGTGGTGGTAGTAGTGGTGGTAGTGGGGGGGATTCACCGCGAAAGGTGCTTTGGAAATCTCACAAAATGTGTTGTTGCGCTTTATTCGCGCATTCTGCGTAGTTAACTAAACAATATTTACACCAAACACTTGTAATGCGTTCCTACCCAGTTCGGCAAACCAGTAACATATTTTTGGCGAAACACGTTTAAATGGTCCACTATAATTTCTTGCTTTCTCTGCTCTGCAGTTTTCACTGGATTCTGGCCTTTAGCATTAGCAAGTCACACAACTTCACCTTATGCTAACGTACTGGTCAACTTATTTAGACATTTTTTTAAAGCCGATAGTTTTGTAACTATCCACTTCACATGATGTGGCTTTTTAAAACACCCCCTTGTTTGAATATTTTGTTTAAAAGCAAGAATAGCTTAATGCTGCAGATATTTTAATGGCTTCTGGGTTGCAAACTGAAAACAGGCAGCAAAAAACACCTGCTCCAACTTTGCTGCCCCCCCCCCGCCATTTTCCCAGCAGTTCCATGTGAGTTCTGTTTATAGACTACAAATGTATACAACTCAGATCAGTAGATAACCCCCTCCTTTCCTTACAGTCTGGCATAACCAGACCTGAAACTGTCCCACTACTGTTACATGTCTATGCACCCAGGCCTAATGGTGGCTAATACCTGGAATAGAAGATAGTGTTTTTCCCCCTTTGTGCGTTTTTGCCTGACCACAGGCCCTGTGGGTCACAGGGTTCTGCTGTTTTTTAGTGTGTTTTAACTTCTGGTCTTTCTTGCTGACCATAAACATTGTTCCTCCTCTTCTGCACCATTGAAACATCTGTCATCAATGACACACTGCGCTGTCCCGCCCCCCGGGAGAACATGCCGGAACACTCATCAGGTTGCTGCAGATGTGATGTAGGCATCTGGCAGCCTCGGAGCACAGGTCAGACATGTGTGAGGAAAACAGATGATGGGGCAGTAAGGGTAGGAGGGGGGTGGTGGTGGTGGTAACAGCAGCTGGTGTACATACACTGGACCAGCGTGTGTGTTCCTGCATGCTGGTTCTTTCACCGTCTTTTTCACCTATTCTCTGAATGGACCAATGTCAAAGCAGTGGGTGGTTAAATACTACAAATATGTCTTAAATCAGACCAGGGTTTTACCTTCACTGGGGCTCTACAAGAGCATATCTCACCCATTCCTTACCCACAAATACACAATATTTATTCATAGAAATAAATAAGAATAATTTTATTGAAGTCTCAATGTAGTTTCTTTTAGTATTTATTATTTTATTGTGCAGTCTTTATCACTTAAGTACAAATATTCTTGGATTTATAGGTGCAATTAAAAAAAAATTTTTTTTACAAATACTTCAAAGTGTTTTTCCTTTTTTCTGAACATCTG